ACCATCGCCTCAAGTCTTGATGCAAAATTTCCGTTTCTTGATTTTAGTTCTACATTTACTCAAGCATTGGAGGTGTGAGCCTTTCCACCTATGCCATTTATTTTATGTCTGGAGCTGGTGGTTTTTAATGCTAATTTCTGAATAACTCTTTCAGAAATAACAATTATTTGGGAGCCAGAGTCAAGTAGAGCTCTGAATTCTGCCATTTGTCCATTGTTTCCTTGAACTATTACTCTAGCTGTGGCTAGAAGGACGTAACCATCATGCTTTCCACTTGCTGATGCCGCAGTAATGACATCCGAATTTTCCGATAATTTTTCCAAGTGGTGGAGCGTGTTGTGATTTTTGTTGTAAAACAATCTTTTCTAGTGCATGCTTTTGAAGCGTGGTTGGAATGAAAACATTTTACGCATAATTTATTCCTTTAAGTCCAGTTCGAACGTTCAGCTGGAGTCTTTTTTAAGAACTCATTGCATTTAAAAATGCTATGGTTTGGTTTCTTACAGAAGAGGCAATTGAATAATGTATCTGCCCCTGCTACACATGTCGTTGGTTTTTTGGGTTTCTCTGAAGAAATAGCTTTTAGTGTGAGAAACCGTTGCTCCAAAAATTCCAAAAATTCTTTTATTGGCTGCATTTCTCTTGTGTTTAAAATCGATTGTTCGTAGAGCAAATGTGTTTGTCGATCTTATTTTTTTGTTAGAAAGTGCAGGAGAATCGAATCCCAATTGTCCGTTCTTATTTCAATATTGTTCAATGCTGATAATGTTTCCTTTACATTATCATGCAACGATTTTATGCCTTTACCATCACTAGATATTGGTGCATGATCTAATAATTTTTGCAGTAAAGTATTGCATAATACTCTTTTGTTGCTGAAACGCTCTTGCAACATATTCCATGCTGTCAAATAATTGGTTTCAGTTAGGGACAAGTGACGAATTAAACGTTCAGCCTCTCCCGCTAGATTAGTCTTCAAGTACCACATTTTTTGTATAATGGGTAATGAAGATTCATGAATCATTTTCTTAAATAAATCATGAAATTGCTGCCATTGCAAAAAATTTCCATCAAATTTTGGAATCGTTACCTTTGGGGTTTTTTAATTTTTTATGAATTTGGACATGAATCCTTTTAATTTCATTCCAATTTTCGGATATGATCGCCTTAAAATTTTGGCGTGTTTCAACTGTCACCTTACCATGATGCGCTCTAAAGTATCAATGAGCACCCTTTGCTCACGGAACATTGATTCAATTTCCAAATCTTCTTCCGTAGACGTTAGGGAGGCAGTTTCAGCTTGCAGTGTTGACAAATTTGTTGTGAATATATTTTGATATTCACTCACCAGGTTTCTAATTTCAAGAAAGTAATTATTTCTGAAATACCCATGATCAATTTTTTCACCTTTTAGGGTACGCTGGATTGTATCTTCTCTGGAGGCAAAATTTACCCATAGACCCTCCAGATTAGCCAAGCGTTCTGTATAATACGCAGGCTTAGCTTTTCTGCTTTCGGAATCTTTTTTGAAATTCCTTATAATATTTTGGATGCGCTCACCCAGAGCATGCTGTTCATCCAATAAGGAGCGAATGCTTGAAGATGCCATATTTTACTTTTAATTATAAACCTTTAAGAGGTATTTAGTTAATGATGTGCCTCGACTCACACCGTGGTTTATAAATTAATTGTAAGAATGGTCAGAAATCAAGATCCTATTTTTGTGTTGTGTGTGTGTTTTGATCGCCAAGTTGATCGTACACAAATCGCAGAATATTCTAGTTGTCTGATGGTTTTTAGAATCTGCTGTTTTAAAACTGTCTATCGCCAAGTTGACAGCAGTAGATGAAAAATGCTTGGTCGCCTAGTTGACCTGTTAATCACTACCGTGATTTATTTAAGGATGATCAAAACTATGATCGATGATGCGGGTTCAAATTGGAGTCCCAATCTGAACAATGGTTGCGGTTCGAAGTCGGGGGGTAACCAAATGTATGAATTCAATTGAATTCTGAATGCTGAAATGTAGAGTTTTTGTTTTTGTTGCGTGCCGCAAGTACAATACCAGTGGCAATAGTCGCCGCAATAAGTACAATACAAATTGGGCTGCGGAGAAGTGAATACGTCGTACAAATTTTATTGAGTCAAACCTAGGCTTTATATACATGTTTTTGGGTTAAAAGATATTTACTTAGGTCTAGTCAAGATTACAATTATTTGTTATATTGGTTAGCCTCTCTCTTAATAACGCTACACGGAGGTAATCAGTTGGTGGTACGTGTCACCCGTTCCAGATATTGGGTTCCGAGAATCAAAAACTTGGTGAAGGCAGTTATCAATGCCTGCAAGGTCTGCGTTATCTACAAAAAGAGATTGCAAGTTCAGATGATGGGAAATTTTCCAAGAGAACGAGTGTCATTCTCCCGTCCATTCACGTACACGGGGATGGACTACGCAGGGCCCTTCTATATAAAAAATTACATTGGTAGAGCAGGTCTCATTACAAAAGGGTATGTGTTGGTTTTCGTTTGTTTCTCCATCAAGGCTATCCATTTGGAGCCTACTTCAGATCTGACGACCGAGAAATTTTTTGCGGCGTTCGCTCGGTTCGTATCCAGAAGAGGGTGTCCTCGCCAAGTGCAGTCGGACAATGGGAAGACCTTTGTTGGCGCTGCCACATTACTGTCCCGAGATTTTCTCCAGGCCGTTAAAGAGTCTGTGACTGATGCGTATAGTCATCAGCAGCTCGACTGGCATTTCATTCCGCCCGGGGCACCCATATGGGAGGCCTATGGGAAGCTGGTGTCAAGACCTTCAAAGCATTGTTCTATAAATGCACAACTACGCGGAAGTATACCTATGAAGAACTTGCCACTCTGCTAGCGAAGATTGAAGCTTGTCTAAACTCCAGACCGCTATCTCCCATGTCAGAGGATCTCACTGATCTTCTAGCGTTGACACCTGGGCACTTTCATGTCGGCGGCCCTCTTCTATCCATAGTGGATCCCGAAGTAAAGGGAGAATCCAAGTCCATATTGAACAGGTGGCAACACTTGAAAGCTCTCCATCAGCAATTCCGCGCTCGATGGAAGGACGAGTACCTTAAAGAGCTCCACAAGCGCAACAAGTGGAAGTGTCCCACCGAGAATATGCGTGTCGGGGACATGGTCGTCATCAAAGACGACAATCTGCCCTCAAATGAGTGGCGAAAATTGTTCTCCTTCCCAGAGAGGCTTCCCAAACTTCTACCTAGTAATCCATACGTCATTATGCGTAGTCCGTAAGCCCCGAGTCATACCATTATGAAACATCTTCCTTTGTTTTTTTCTTTTTCATGATCCAACGCCAAAACCCGTAGATAATGGCTCCGCGTAAGCAAAACGCTCAAGTGTTGGAGAGCAGGCGGACTCGAGGCACGCAGTCCTACCGGTGCCGAGTCTGCCGGGGGATCCACCCTCTAAAGAGGTGCCAGAGGTTCCTCAAGCTGAGCGCGGAGAAGCGGCTACGGGCAGTTCTTGTCAATAAGGGCTGCGCAAATTGCCTTGCCCACGAGCATTCGCAAGAGGACTGCCGTAGCGGTGACCGGTGCAGAACGTGCGATGAGGAGCATCACACGCTGCTCCACATCACCGAGCCTTCCAAGCCTTCCAAAAGGGGCTCCGCTTCTCAGCGGGTCCGAAGATCGTGGACACCGTGGCGCTCATAGGTCATCCAACCAGGATTCCACCTGGTCGCCGAGGGACTGCCAGTAGCCCAGAAGACCATTTTCGGCTGGATCCTGTCCGGCGCCTGCAACCAGGGCTAATTATGTTGCAACGCCAGCGGTTGCAAGAGGGCGGAATGTTCAGGCCTCTCCCGCTCTCCCTCTCCCTGAGCTCCCAGAATCCAAAAAACTCAGCCAGTTTTCAATTCGATCTCCGACCAGGCCTGGTCTGTAGCTAGACGCGACTGCCTATGTCCTTCCACAATTAGCTGGTCAACTTCCGTCCTGCTCAATTCCGCAGCATTTCCTACGGGAACTTCCCGAATTTTCTTTGGCGGACCCGAAATTTTATGAGAGTGCACAAATGGACGTGTTAATCGGGGCTGATCTGCTGCCTTCCATACTCCTAAGCGGCACCCGAGCAAACATCTGTGGCTCTTTTCTTGGTCAAGAGACTATATTCGGATGGATCCTTACCGAACCAATACCAGCTACTAGGCAAGAGCAAATTTCCGCTTTCTCCACTCGAATCTACCATATATTCGATTCAAACCTAGATCAACTTCTCACCAAGTTTTGGGAGGTGGAGGATCTGCCAATAAAAGTGGCAAAAGGTTCCGATTTGGCTTGTGAGGAAAATTTCCTTCGGACAACCACGAGAGACGATAGTGGAAAATATATCGTAAGCCTTCCTTTCCGTGATCCGGAGAACGTAAAGTCCGCCCTGGGACACTCCAGATCCTTCGCGTTGGCTCAATTCTTAAGAAACGAGCAGCGTTTGAAAAGGGACAGCCAACAGAAAATGAAGTACGATACCGTCATTCAAGAATATCTTGATCTCAACCACATGAAAGAGGTCTTTCCTACCCATGATTCTGCGAGTTATTATCTTCCGCATCATGCCGTGCTCAAGCCAGAAAGTACGACCACTTAGCTTCGTGTGGTGTTCAATGCCTCGAGCCCTTCAGAGAATGGGGTCAGTCTAAATGATATCCTTCATGCTGGCCCGGTCTTACAGTCCGATCTGACCATTCAAATTCTGAAATGGCGATATTTCCGATACGTTTACAGTGCCGATATCGAGAAAATGTAACGACAGATCTGGGTAGACCCGAAGCATACCCCGTTCCAACGCATTTTATTCCGAAACAGCGAGGGATACATTCGAGATTTTGAATTAAAGACGGAAACTTTCGGGATTAATTGTGCGCCCTTCCTGGCGATACGAGTCCTACAACAGCTGGCGACTGACGTGCAGCTCAGCCATCCAAGAGCGAGCAAAGTCATTCGTAGTGCAATGTATGTAGACGATGTCCTTTCGGGAGCTGACTCTGCTGAAGATGCTCAACTCACAATAAAAGAGCTACAGAATGCCCTAGACTCCGCGGGTTTTCCGTTCAGAAAATGGACATCCAACAACAAAGAGGTGTTAGCTCATATCCAACCCGATCATCTTCTGAACAGCGATTTCCTTGATCTCGACACTGAAAGTACAGCCAAGACTCTCGGTATACGGTGGAGAGCGACGTCCGATGAGTTTTTCTTCGTTCCACCAGATCTACCCACAGAAATGTCCCCCACAAAACGCCAGGTGCTTTCCCAAATCGCCAAACTGTTTGATCCGGCAGGCTGGCTCGCTCCATTTGTTGTGTGTGCCAAGATCTTTATGCAAGAGATTTGGGTTCAGGAGCTGGGGTGGGACGATAAGCTGCCATCTGAGCTGTGCCAAAGGTGGCACAGTTTTCTTCAAAGCTATTCGATCCTTGATCAGGTCCGGATTCCAAGATGGGTTTCCTTTCGCCCAGAAGTTCGCTTAGAGCATCACGGATTTTGTGATGCCTCCCAGAAAGCCTACGGCGCTGCGATCTACGTGCGCGTAGAGATGGGACATACCATGATGGTACACCTGCTCACCGCCAAGACGCGCGCTGCGCCAGTCAAAACTGTGTCGCTTCCTCGACTAGAGCTGTGCGGAGCTTTACTGCATGCCGAAATGGCTGAAGCGATCCTTCCCAGCATGCCGATGCTGAATTCGAATCTCCACTGCTGGACCGACTCCACTATTGTGTTGGCGTGGTTAGCAAAACCAGCTTGCCATTGGACTACATTCGTTGCCAACAGAGTGACGAAGATCACTCAGTCCACAGAGGCAGCCAACTGGTCACACGTTCAATCCGAACATAATCCCGCTGACTTGGCTAGTCGAGGGGTGGCCCTTCCAGAGCTTGTCGGTAGTTCTCTCTGGTGGCATGGACCCACGTGGTTGCAAAGGCCACGCAGCCAATGGCCTAGCCAGGGGACCGACCTACCCGTGACAGAGATCGAAAAGCGAGCAGTCAAAGCCCACGTAGCGTATATTCCGAACGAAGACTTCCTTGATCGTTTTTCCAAATTGGATAGAGCGTTGCGGGTCCTCGCGTATGTCCAGCGATTTATCAGTCGGTACAAAAAACAATCGCCGTTTTCAGATATCCGTCTGGAGGCCAAGGAACTTGTCGCCTCCGAACGGCTCATGATTCTCTGCACTCAGCGCAGGTATTTAACGAACGAGTATCGCTGTTTGAGTCAGAAGCTTCCGGTGCCCCCTTCCAGTTCGATCCTCTCCTTAAACCCTTTCCTAGATCAGGAGGGGCTGATAAGGGCATGTGGCCGTGTCACAGCCTCTGAAAGTTTGCGTTACGATGAACGACATCCGATAATCCTCCCGTACGAATGTTCACTCTCTCGGCTTCTGGTAAAGTTCACGCATCTCATAGCGCTTCACGGTGGTAATCAGTTGGTGGTACGTCTCACCCGGTCCAGATATTGGGTTCCGAGAATTAAAAACTTGGTGAAGGCAGTTATCAATGCCTGCAAGGTCTGCGTTATCTACAAAAAGAGATTGCAAGTTCAGATGATGGGAAATTTGCCAAGAGAACGAGTGTCATTCTCCCGTCCATTCACGTACACGGGGATGGACTACGCAGTGCCCTTCTATATAAAACATTACACTGGTAGAGCATGTCTTATCACGAAAGGGTATGTGTTGGTTTTCGTTTGTTTCTCCACTAAGGCTATCCATTTGGAGCCTACTTCAGATCTGACGACCGAGAAATTTCTTGCGGCGTTCGCTCGGTTCGTATCCATAAGAGGGTGTCCTCGCCAAGTGCAGTCGGACAATGGGAAGACCCTTGTTGGCGCTTCCACATTACTGTCTCGGGATTTTCTCCAGGCCGTTAAAGAATCTGTGACTGATGCGTATAGTCATCAGCAGCTCGACTGGCATTTCATTCCGCCCGGGGCACCCCATATGGGAGGCCTATGGGAAGCTGGTGTCAAGAGCTTCAAGGCATTGTTCTATAAATGCACAGCTACGCGGAAATATACCTTTGAAGAACTTGCCACTCTGCTAGCGAAGATTGAAGCTTGTCTAAATTCCAGACCGCTATCTCCCATGTCAGAGGATCCCACTGATCTTCTAGCGTTGACACCAGGGCACTTTCTTGTCGGCGGCCCTCTTCTATCCATAGTGGAGCCCGAAGTAAAGGGAGAATCCAAGACCATATTAAACAGGTGGCAACATTTGAAAGCGCTCCATCAGCAATTCCGCGCTCGATGGAAGGATGAATACCTTAAAGAGCTCCACAAGCGCAACAAGTGGAAGTGTCCCACCGAGAATATGCGTGTCGGGGACATGGTCGTCATCAAAGACGACAATCTGCCCTCAAATCGACTCCGTCTTTCCTGGAGCCGATGGCAATGTCCGCGTAGTCGACAACCGGACGGCGCGCGGCATTGTCCGGCGTCCAGTAGCCAAAATTGTTCTCCTTCCCGGAGAGGCTCCCCAAACTTCTACCCAGTAATCCATACGTCGTTGTCCGTAGTCCGTAAGCCCCGAGTCGTACCTTTATAAAAAACCTTCCTTTGTTTTTTTCTTTTTCATGATCCAACGCCGAAACCCGTAGATAATGGCTCCGCGTAAGCAAAACGCTCAAGTGTTGGAGAGCAGGCGGACTCGAGGCACGCAGTCCTACCGGTGCCGAGTCTGCCAGGGGATCCACCCTCTAAAGAGATGCCAGAGGTTCTTCAAGCTGAGCGCGGAGAAGCGGCTACGGGCAGTTCTTGTCAATAAGGGCTGCGCAAATTGCCTTGCCCACGAGCATTCGCAAGAGGACTGCCGTAGCGGTGACCGGTGCAGAACGTGCGATGAGGAGCATCACACGCTGCTCCACATCACCGAGCCTTCCAAAAGGGGCTCCGCTTCTCAGCGGGTCCGAAGATCGTGGACACCGTGGCGCTCATAGGTCATCCAACCAGGATTCCACCTGGTCGCCGAGGGACTGCCAGTAGCCCAGAAGACCATTTTCGGCTGGATCCTGTCCGGCGCCTCCAACCAGGGCTAATTATGTTGCAACGCCAGCGGTTGCAAGAGGGCAGAATGTTCAGGCCTCTCCCTCTCTCCCTCTCCCGGAGCTTTGAACGTGTCGCGCTCGGCCGTCCAGGCTCTCCACTCCCCGAGCGTAAGAAGTCTCCGCTGCGCCTCCAAGCGGCTAGCTTAGATAAGCTTAAGTTAGTGCCAAAACGTAATCGCATGAATAAACGCCCGGCCGGTCCGCGCCACGATTGAAATCCAAGTAGTTTTACTTTTCCGCGATCGCCGAGTGTTTCTTTCTCGCCCCCACAGCTCACCACCGCCAGCCGTCGCTGCACCACAAAGAGCACTTCAATAAAACGGATAATTCGCGGACACGTATAACGCTTCATTTCTGTATTTACTTTGGATTCACTTTCATTTACTTAGAGAAGCTCAACTAAATAACACTTGATTTTTGTAATCGACGCCACCAGATGGCGATAGTTTTCTGTAAAATTTCGGTTGGTGATTAAAAGATAAAGAAATTTTTTTTTGTTTTATAAATGAAAAGGAATAATTTCATTTCATTTCACAACAGTAATGAATTCAGGTCGATTACAAAAATCAAGTGTTATTTAGTTGGATTTATCATTTTAATATTTAAATAATATCCATCTTCTCCTTACCAAAACATTAGCGGGTATTGCAATGCGTCATATGATCGATGAGTTTCAGATATTTGTTGCAGTTGCCCAGTATCGCGACGTTTGAGCACAATATCGCGGTTTCCAAATTGTTCCCCAACAATCAGGATGGCGACTTCGTCTATTGTTGGAGCATTAAATGTCTGTCGGGTCATCCAGCCGCAGCAGATATTTAGGATCTCTTAATGCTAGCTCTTAGCTTATCTGCATAATTACCATCGCTCTCGCTCTCTAATTATCTTTCTATTTGCTCTCTCTCGTTGCTTGTCGGCTTCTACTTTGGGTCAGCAATCGGCTGATCCGCGTCTCAATTTTAATTGTATTACTTCTTTTCGATCTCGCGGACCATTTTCGTTAATCGCTTCTGCTAAATAAATTCGCTGCCTTTGCAGAAATCGAACTCTAAATTTTCGTCTTTTTAATTCAACAGCTAATAAAAAAGCTTATTAGCTCAACATTGGTGACCCCGACGTGATTTGTGCATAAAAGGGACTCAGTGCAAGTCACAAAAATTAATTTGTTTTACCAGGCTGCATATTTTGCTTAATCTGTGTTGCAGCTACATTGTGCGTTTACCTGCCATAAACAACACAAATATTATAAATTGATTTGTGAAAATAATAACACTCTTGGTTACACAAACTTGTACATAAGTCGGTATATAGACCAGCAGCGGACCAATTTTTCGCATTCTCCTTTGCGCTCATCTTCCCGCTGAAGCCGAATTTTGCCCGCTGAGTCTGCTGCATACATATCTCACTTTATGTTTGTTGTAAAACAATAAAATGAATTGATTTATGCAAATAATAGCACTCTGGTTACAAAAGCTTTACATAAGGCGGTATATAGACCAGAAGCGGACCGAATTTTCGCTGTTCCCCGTTACGCTTATCTTCCTGCTGAAGCCGAATTTTGCCCGCCGAATCTGCTGCATTTATTTGTTGTTGTTGCTGCTTAACATGGCTTCAGAAAATTCGGTTAGCGTCACCGACAATCGCAATTCAAACAGGGTGACATTTTTGAGGCGCAAGGCAACTTCAATGTTTAATAGAGTGGAGCGGTTAGTGGAATCCCTTTCAAGTTCGGCTTTGAATTCTTTTGACGTTTCTGGCCTTCATGTGAGGTTGGAACTCATCGAGGAGCTTCAAAAGGCGTTTAAAAAGGTTCTCAACGAGCTGGAAGAATTGGACTTTGAGGAAATTGGAAATGACTTGGAGGAAAAATTTGATGATGTCGTCGTAATCCTGAAGTCGACGGTTCGATCGGAGATCACAAAGCGTTCCTCGCAACTGCTTCAGCACTCAACCTTTGCTGATGGCAATACGCCCGGTCATTTCGGCCATCAGCAGCGGGAAGCTCTGCGCCGAGCGATTCCACTTCCCGCTCTTGAACTTCCGAAATTCGCTGGAGGTTATGCGAATTGGGCAGATTTCTATTCTATGTTTACAACCATCATAGATAGTCATCCTGACCTGACCAACATAGAAAAGCTGCAGCATCTACGTTCTTGCCTGAGGGATTCTGCGTTGGAAACCATCCGCTCGCTGGAAATTTCGGACGGCAATTATTCTGTGGCTTTGGACTTATTGCAAAACCGATTTGATAATCGTCGTTTGGTTTTTCAGGCACACATTACTGAGATCCTGGGGCTTAAGGCAGTGCAGAGTGGTTCCGTCTCGATGCTTCGTGATCTGTCAGATAAATTCAACGCTCATATTCGTGCTCTAAAGGGATTGGGCACGACGGAACAAATCGCAGGATGCATCATCGTCCAAATACTGCTTCAAAAGCTAGATCCTGCGAGCCAGGCCAAATGGGAGGAGCGATTAGAGGATCCAGCATCCGTCAATCTAATTCCGACGTGGGAATCCATGGCATCATTTTTGGAGCAGCGATGCAGAACATTGGAGACCATGGATTTCGCCATGGCAAGCTATGCGTCTGGCAATCAGGTGGGACACAACGGAACATCTAATTCTCGTAGATCCGCTTTTGTTGCCACAAATATTAACCCTTGGATTTGTTCGTTCTGTAATGCTTCTGGTCACTCCATTCATTACTGCCAAGATTTTAATGCCCTGCCCCCTGCAAATCGGCTTCAAGAAGTAAAGAGGCTCTCTCTTTGCATAAACTGCCTTAAGATAGGGCATCAATTGAGGCGGTGCAATTCCAGCAATTGTCGTACATGCGGAGCTAAACACCACACCCTCCTTCACTTGGGAAATTTAGCCTCAGCTTCTCCACAGGCAGGATCACAGCTTCCAGAAGCTCTTGCCGCTGTCTCACTCAATGCTGTCGTAGAACCATCTGCCGTACCTTCCACATCCACTGCTCTTATTGCTCAGGATTTCAGTACTGACAATGTGCTCCTAGCCACTGCCACCGTTCTCGTAAAAAATCGGTCTGGAGTTTTCGTTCCATGTCGAGTCCTTCTTGATTCGGGCTCTCAACTGCATCTAATAACATCACGCTTTGCAGATCAGCTTCAAACAAAGAAGATAAAGTCCTCGGCATCTGTTACTGCAATCGGTGATTCGAGCTTTGTTACAAATGGTCACTTAGTTAATATTACGATGCAGTCCCGAACGTCTGATTACACGGTGAACCTAACCGCAGTTATTGCCCCCAATATAAGTGAGCTACAGCCTAGTTTTAATGTGGACACCGGCAGCTGGAAAATACCGCAAAACATTAAATAAGCTGACCCTACATTTTATATCCCTCAGCGTGTGGATCTTTTGATTGGAGCCAGTTTGTTTTACGAGCTGTTGTGCGTTGGACAAATTAAGCTCGCACCTGGATTACCGCTTATTCAAAAGACTCGACTGGGATGGGTTATTTCCGGAGGATATGGCGTCTCCAATGGCTCTTCATTATTCTCGCCCCTTGCTGTACCTCTCGTTAGTAAGGAGAATAGCTTAGATCGCCTTAATGATCGTCGAAAGGTCCTGCTAATAAAATCGCCAAGCTCGTCGCTGGACTTCAATGGCCGCCATCCAGTCATATTGCCACGGAGCCATCCTGTCACTGCCGCCATCATTACTCACTTTCATGAGCGTAGTCAGCACACAGAACCTCGGGCCCTATTCTGCATAACTCGATCCCAGTATTGGCTTATTGGGGGGAGGAAGACGGAACGATTGGATGGATGGCAACGTGTGGCCTACTTGCAGCAAGTCCTCTGGACCCGATGGAAGAAGGAATATCTGACGCTACTGCAGCAGCGCTCCAAATGGCGCACCCCGAAGCCTGGCCTGGTTGCCGGTGACGTGGTGCTGGTCAAGGACGAGGACTTACCTCCGAAGAAGTGGCCCCGAGCGAGAGTCATTGAGCTTCTGTGTGGTGCAGATGAGTTGCTCGAGTTGCAGTTCTCAAGACAACATCAGGAGTGACGAAATGAGCAGTAAATAAGCTGTGTCTGCTGCCCCTTAAGGATGTTGTTGAAAGCCAGACTTCCAACGGGGGAGTATGTCGGGTCATCCAGCCGCAGCAGATATTTAGGATCTCTTAATGCTAGCTCTTAGCTTATCTGCATAATTACCATCGCTCTCGCTCTCTAATTATCTTTCTATTTGCTCTCTCTCGTTGCTTGTCGGCTTCTACTTTGGGTCAGCAATCGGCTGATCCGCGTCTCAATTTTAATTGTATTACTTCTTTTCGATCTCGCGGACCATTTTCGTTAATCGCTTCTGCTAAATAAATTCGCTGCCTTTGCAGAAATCGAACTCTAAATTTTCGTCTTTTTAATTCAACAGCTAATAAAAAAGCTTATTAGCTCAACAATGTCCTTTCTTGTATTCCAGATGGTCGTTTATCTGCTTTTATGACATCTTTATAGTGATCATTTCGCATGCGCTCTAAAGCACTCTTAAACAACCTGACCATCGCATGAGGTTCATGAAGCAGACACTGCCAGCCTTGAAGAATAGCTTGCTTCATCCCTGCATTGATCCCTAGGCGTCGATCAAGTTGTTCTTCCATGTTGCCCATGAAAAATATTTGTAAAAATTTTTTTTGTGTATCTTCGAAAGGTAGTAATGATCCAATTCGATGGTGAATCTGCCCTTAAATCTAAGATAAAGTAAGTTATTATATAGTTATATTATTATTATTATATGTAATACCAAAAAAAACCTTAAATGTTGGATTAAGTCCTCGTACTACGATAATATCTGCCCCAAATTATGTCATTTGGAAACAACCATTGTATTTTCGAGTATTTGCAAGAAAGTGGCGTGATTCTTGT